CCGTAGATTTTTCAACTTCAGTTTTAAAATTCTTGAATGTACAAAACACATCACTTTTGGACTTGGGAGTTTTAATCCATACTTTTCTTGAGAAGTCATCAACAAATGAAACAAAATCTAATGCACCGTCATAATATGTAGTTGGTGAAGGGCCCCATATATCCGAGTGAATGTAATCAAGTTTGCACTTGCTACTATGCTTCCCGGCCTTGAAAGATTTTCTATGTTGTTTCTCATAGACACAATGCTCACAAAATTCGGATCCATCAATTTTAAGTGTAGGAATAAAATTCATCTTCATCAAAACCTCCATACCCTTATCACTCATACGCCACAATCTTCTATGCCATAAGCGAGATGAAACTTCATCACCTTCGACCACGGAATTCACTTCATCATTTATTATTGTGCTTTCCAAAAACTTGTACAAGCTCCCAATTAGAACTTCTTTCATCACAATTAAAATCCTTTTTGATACTTTGATTACTCCACCTTGACCGGTAAACTTATAACCTTCCAAATCTAAAGAAGAGAGGTAAATCGGGCTCTTTTTAGTTCCGACACATGCCTAACATCCTTAATGGCCCGAATAGTCCCATCAAATATCTTTAGGCAAACCGAACTCATTCCAGCCACCTTGCTAGTGGTTTTATTACCCATGGATACTAATCCTCTTTACATGACTCATATGAGTCAAACCATGATCTATGAAGGCACTGTGATGGGTGGCTCCACTATCAAGTATCCAATTTTGATATAATATTGAATTATATGTCACCATCAATACTTCATCTTCAATGAACCCTGATGTAGACTCTTTAACTTGATTTGCTTCATTCTTGGATTCACTTGGCTTTTCATATATCGCATTAGGAGCTTTGGATGAATTCACTCTATTTGTTTTGACACAATTCTTACTTATATGGTCGTGTTTCCCACAATACCAATACTCATTTTTATTATTAGGGCATCTAGATTTTGATCGAAATCTTGAATTACATCTTGAATGATTTCTCGATGAATCACCTCGTTCATTCGATTGACATCTTTCCACAAGAGCTTCTGTCTTTGATTCTACCGAACTTTCCAAATATGCCTTCTTTCGAAGTTCATCGCCACGTAGGGCACTACACAACGAGCCCAAATCATGAGAATCCTCTTTACTACAACTCAATGTAGTAACAAGGTTATCATATGATTCCGACAATAAACAAAGTAAGGTGACCGCCTTATCTTCAACGTCCATCTCACACTAATACTCTCAAGTTGACAAATGATGTTATTAAACTCATTCAAGTGTTCCAACACATTTGTACCATCTTTCATTATTAAGGAATACAATTTTCTTTTTAAAAAATTTCGGTTTGTGAGAGATTATGTACAAACTTTTCAATTTTTCCTACAAATCTTTTGTCGTCTTTTCCCCAACAATATTAAACAAAACTTTATTTGCTAAACACAAGCGAATAGTGGCTCGTGCCTTCATATCGAGTTTGTCCCAATCATCATCAATCATATTTATTAGTTTCTTATCTTTTCCAAGTAATGCTTTGTATTGCCATTGATATACCAATAAATCTTGCATCTTTAATTTTCAAGTTTTAAAATTATATTTCCCATTAAACTTCTCCACCTCAAACTTGTGAGATGTCATTTTCTCAAAAAATACTACACTAATTCCTCGAGCTCTGATATCACTTGTTGTAAAATCGAGATAACCCGATCACTCCTTGTGCGCAAATTGAGATATCTCAAATCCCACTAGATGTGGTGAGCACTACACCACAATAATTTCAACAGTCAAATAATATGCCCAATATACAATAACAAGTACAATATAATTAGGAAAAATATAAAAAGTAATAACACAAACAATATAAAAAATCATCAAAGCACACCATAAATGAAAGAAGAGAGGGACCCATACATATACGTGGTTGACCCAAGATGGGCTCTGCATGGGCAAAACGACAAAGATGTATTCACTATCAGGAGAAAAATTTACAAGATTGGAGTTATGTAGAGTTACCTCATGCAATCTCAATGAAAGCTCAAACAAAAGAACTTCCTACCACAAAACCGCCCATCATGGACTCATTTCTTTAACTCACCGATGCCACGAAAAATTACCGAAAAAACGGCCCAAGATGTACCCCAAATGGTGGTGCTATGGTTTTGTTGCAAACCTCTAATTTCCAACCTCAAGCTTCTCTCTCTATAAGTTCTCTTTCTCCCTCATTCACCCAAACGTTTCTCTCTATCAAAACCCTTTTAAAAGCATCCACTAAAAAAGGTCCATTTTTAGTGACAAAAATGCATATCCCATAGGGCCATAAGGTGTGATCTTTGCATCACATCCCAACAAGGAGAAGGGTTGCAATCACTCTAGTTATATCCTAAGAAGGGGTTTACTAGGGTGAAGGATGTAGTGTTTCTGGCTAAGAATTCCTCATCAAATCACATTAAATTACGGTGCTAACCAACATAAAAAGGTTTCAAAAGGGGAGAATTATATATATATCCCTTGTCATACTTTCTAAGCATGGCCCACCCCAGTACTTCTTAAACCATATTAGTAACAGTCGTAGCTTTATTTTTTCATCCAATCCCCTGATTAAGAAAGTAGCTTTTTCAATACGGAAATGCCCCCTATGTATTTAATATAGTTTCTCACTCTTAACAATTGAAATTTAAAATTTTAGAGAGAGAAACTATCTCAAAAATTTAGAGAGATGAACTACCTCAAATCTTAATTTATTAGATAAAGAAACTATGTTGAATTTCAAGTTTTAGTGAGATAAATGATCTCAGAATTTTAGAGGGAGAAACTATTATTTAAAGGAATAATAAATAACTTGAAATTCGAGATAACTTCTTTCTCTAAAACTTAAAATTTGACGGTTTCTATTTGAATTTGAGATAGTTTCTCTCTCTATTTTTTTTTTTTGGATAATTTCTATCTCTAAAATTCCATCTTTCAAATTTCAAGAGAGAGAAACTATATTAAATATATGGGGGTAAAAGTTCTTAGGGTGTGTGGAGTATTGGAGTGGGGTATGCGCAGTTGTGGGGTTATTTATAATTTTCCCTTCTAAAAGCCTATACATGCTTACCAAATTGGTATGCTATGTTTTTAAGACAAATTTGAGTTGAGATACTTTTGTTGCCCGGTCCAGAGCAAGATGCACCATAGCCTTTACCTTACAACTACAAGATATATATATATATATATATATATATATATATATATATATAATAAAATATAGTAAGTTAGTAACTAAGTATGCTACTTAACAAAAGTAAATATTAGTTTAAGTTACGTTAACGTTAA